GTTTTTAAGCTTTTATTGTTTTGACATTTTGGAAATTTATGGTAGACGCTTTGGGGCCGCCACTTGAACAGGCCGTTCCATTAGCTCCAATTGTATAAACAATCGAGTGCAATTGTAATCGACGCCTTGCCACACACGCGCACAACAACAGCAGCAACAACAACAACTCATGTTGTTTACATGTGTATTTTTATTGTATTTATTTATTTATATATATATATTTTTTTTTTTGGCGACAATTTGTCTGCAATTTCTTGCCTAGAGCCTCGCATTTCGTTTGAATCTTTGTTTATGGTGCGTAAACGCTGATATAGGCTCTGGATTAAAGCCTTGCAGTTGGTTTTCAGTTTTTTGATACTTGAAAAATATTGTTAGTCTATAAATAAAGTCTGGACATGCCGACAGCGATTCTGCTGATGAAGCGCATATTCTTAGTGGAGCAAACAAATCGAAAGCGTGATTAAATTACTTGAAATATCGCAAAGTATTTCATTTCGGAGAACTTGTCAAGTAACATATTCAATATGACACTGTTTCCTATGGACCACACCCATAATGAAGTAACCCAGCTATTAATAGACTCTTAAAGTTAACAGGAAATTTTTTATTATATGCATAAAATATGGTCTAGTTTAGTTCACAGATATTGCTGCCATTTGCCATATCACAGAGAATAGAGCCAATGATCGAATCCAGCGACATAAGCGAACTATAATGTATTATAATAAATTGAACTCATTGCAGCTTGAGCACTCCTGTTAAGTTTGATTGTACCTTACTTTATTTGAAGCAATTTGCTTATTGTCCTAAGACAGATTGCATATAAGGACCAAGCTAATTTGTGCTAAGCTGTATAAAATTTTGGGTACATTTAAGCATCAGAGATGTTATTCATTAAAATATATAAATATATCCATTAAAAAATATTTTAATAGTTCTAAGGTACTATAATATTAATAAAATAATATTTTAATAAATTAATTAATTAATGCCCAAATATTCGTAGAAATATTTCGTAAGTTTACACTTAGAAAAGCTTTCGCCTTATTTATATATCTCTTTACTCTGCCAATTGATCTACATATCGTTTCAAGCCTATGTCAATCATAAGTACCTAATGCATATGATTAATTGTACATTGCTGATTAAAAGCATTGAAAAATTCTTGAATAATTATGCCATTTACTACACAAATTGCCGCTGTGTACGCTCCCATAATCACCATTGGCATGAAATGCATTTTTTAAAGCCCAATTGCTTGGCCCATCCATAATGAAAATATCTAAAAAAAAAAAAACTATTCATTCATGCGAGCGGCTATTAGAAAAGTATTTGAAATATTTCCACGCCAGCAGCCGGCACTTGTGCGGCAGCGCGTCTCTACGCGATCTGTGTAAGCTATAAAATCGTGAGCCAACAATTGCCAACGGACCACCAAGGTGAGCTAACTGTGCAACCAGTTTGGCCAAGTGTCTCGCACGGTCTAAGCCATTATTTTTATTTTTTTTTTTTGGGGGGCGGGGGCGCTGGCGACTTAGCTGGAAATTAGCGGCGCCTTTTGCATATTTTGGGGCAATTGAAATCGCGTCTGTCAATTCGAAAAAAAAATTGTTTACAAAATCGAAGTCTTGTTAGCAAATGCCACAAAAAATATTTCGGTATATGAGCTGCAGGCAATGAAAATTCGAGTATGCTTCCTATGTCAGGCAGTTGGCAGTGTTTGCATATTTTCATGTTTAACTATGTGAAAAACGTAATTAATTTTTTGAATAACATTTTATTTATTATAAAGCCGTAGGCACGAAAAAGAATTCTTTGAATATTTTACCTCAATTCCAAACTTATTCGGTTATTCCTAAAGAAAAACCTATTGAAAATGATGTACTTAAATTGTGCCCAAGTTGTTCCTTTTCCTTTCACCCAGCTTTACTACAAGTGTTGGTCTAGTTTCGCTTATTGTCGGACGCAAGACCACAATATACATTTAGATTAGGGTATTCAATATGTCGACTTATTGCACTTCAATTAAGCTGCATGTCAATTGCATAGTTGAAATGCCTGAGCGCATCTTTAGTAGCTGTTGTTTTGTTGTGTGGGGGCTGGTTGCCATTTAAGGAATGCCTTCTAATTGTTTTGTAATTTGTTAGCCAATTAATTTGCGACTGCATTGCGAACTATTTGTTGTTGTTGTTGTTGTTGTTGTTAACGTAAACGTTAACGTTGACTTTGACGTTGACTAATTGCAAATGCAGCGAGGCGCGCGCGTATTTTGATTTTGACATATTACTAAAACGTGCACGCTATAAAGCGCGGCACGCAAATCTTAATAGGAACAGGTCCAAGTACGACTGCGCGTCTGAGTCTGAAGTATGTCTATGAATATGAGCACAAATCCCGAGTGCGAGTATGTCATATATTCAGCATTTTATTTAACATCACACATTAACATTAATTGTTGCACATTGATTTAGTGCTCAGTCGGGCTCATAAAATCGTATCGTGCATTCTCTGTTATGCACTTCAAATTGCAACGTGTGGGCGTCGTCAACGTTCTGGTGCGCATTTCCTTATTGCTCATACGCCATGTAGTACAGCTCACTTTTGCGCTTAACCCATGTGCTGACAGCAATTGGCAAGTAAATAAAAGCGTTTTAAAAACATTTAACACTCCATTTAATATGTTTATGTAGTACAAAAGATCGCAATGCTCCGCATATATATATAATTACTTTAGCAATTGGCAGATTTTTTTGTTTAAGAAATCTAGAAAAAGTTCAGGACTTGTATATTTTTTATAGAAATCGATGTTTATTTACTAGAAAAGTTATGTGTATCTCATTTTTATTTTTAAATATTTTTAAAACTTAAATTTGTATAATTTCCTAGCTATTCTTGTCACTGTACGAAAATTGATTGCGCTCTGGGTCATGTTATAATTAATTATAGCTTAATGGGTTAAATGCTGTGTGTGTTGGAAACAAGTTTACAATTTTTTTTTTGAGCTACACAAAATTCATTAAATCATGAAATAAAAATAAAATTGCTTATCGCACAAATCAGTCTGAATTCTGTTTTTGGCTGATTTTCTCATCGTCTTCAGTACAATAAATGAACTTTAACAACTTCTTCAACTTCAAGAGCAAATGCGCAGCGTTCATGTTGGCCAGCGCGAGAAAGCAAAGCGAGCGCGAAAGAGACAGAAAGAGAGAGTGGGAGAGAGACAGCTTGCGTGATGCCATAAACTTGAACTTGATTGGATTTGTTAAGCAAATACAAAAGAAACTGATAGTCAAGCTTATCTAATTTTACTATCAAAGCGATTATCAAGCTCCCTGTCAAAAGCCAGTGTGTGTGTGTGTGTTTGTGTGTGTGTATTGAAGCACGCTTTCTAACCGAATCTTTGACTAATTAATTAATATTTTATGATGCCGCCGCTGCTGATGCTCTGCAAACAAAGCAGCGGGACGTTGAGCAGAAGAATTTGAAATTCATTTAGTTGTTGGATTTATTTGCGAGCGAGGAATTTCGGGTGATGATATCATATGATAATAACGCAACAACAACAAAAGCAATAAGAACAATAACAATGCGCTAAGCAGCATTGAGCCGCTTGTGAGCTGAGAGAAAACGTTTGCTGCCCATCGCAGCAGGTGTTTCTCTCTGAGCACACAGACGGCATCTCGGACTGCGACTGCGACTGAGACTTGGGCTTGGGCTTGGGCTCTGTTCACAGCACGCCATAAAATGCTTTTGCTTAATAAATAAAAAAATTAATTTTTATGAAACGTGTTTAAACAAACAACAAAGATTGATTGGCCAGATAAGATGCAGCTACGCTTCGCTACACCAACACACAGCAGACACTCGCACACACACGGCTTATCAGAGAAATGTGCCAGAGTGTGCGTTTTAGCGTGTGGCCTGAACGTTGCTTAAAGTTTGTTGCCTGAGTCTTTTGCTTTGAAAACTGTTGCCAACGAATCTGGCGCTGCGCTGTCTACGCCGTCGGCTGCTCAGCGCTTGGCATAACTCAAATAGTAACTTTTATAGTAAACAACTTACCCTGGATGAATCGCTTGGCTATATATAACTCGAATATATTGCTAGTATATGTGTTTATCTAGCTGCTGCGGTTGATGGCGTATTGGAATTTATGCGCTTTGTTTTCTTTTTCGGCTCTTTCTCAATTTTTTTGTTCCTTTTTGCTAATGATAAATTAAAAGCCACAATTAGTGATTACTGTCACACCCAGAACCGCATTGTTTTGTCAATAGTACAATTTATTGTTGCTGCTGTTGTTGTTTGTTCAGCTAATGGATTTATTGGGTAAACAGCTGTCGCATGTTAAACATTTGTCAAAAATTCCATACAGGTTTCATATCGTTGCGCACCGTGACAACAACAGCCATACTGGCACCAGACGTCGCCAACATACAACAGCCCATCCAACGACCCAAGCGATATTGTTTGCCTATTTTCAGTATATGTACACATATGGGTGGGGAGCTTCCAAAAACTATTGTTGATGCCAGACAAATTGGCTACACCAAACCATGGGCATACCTATATTTAATATATGTATATATATTGTTAGTCCACTAAGCCACTTATGAAAGTTGCCTAAAGTAGTCCAAAGACAATATACATAGCCATATTTATCAATAGAAAGAATATATATGTAATGAACCATAGATAACGCTCATGAAAGGTGCCTCAAATAGTCCCAAAGCAATTTATAGCATACTTATTCACATTTGAATAAGGTTCAGAAAAAGCATATCCTGTATAAAAATATATCTATTTTTTCAAAAGTTTCGAAAATTATATTTCCATTAATACCAGGCAAATTGAGTCTAGTGAAAATATTTCTCTAATATTTGATTTTGATTACTTACAAACTAATACACTTTTAAATCTTAAGACCTCAGTTGCAATTGCAATATGACAACTTTTAGTTGGACGTACTTTTATAAACAAGAATTTAACATTATTAGATATTATTTTACTTGTTTATTTTGGAATTCGATCAGGGTCCAAAAATAACTTGAACTGCTTTCAATCGGGTAACTTATACGATGCAGGCGTAGCAGCTAGCAAGTTCGTTGCCTAAGTCTTTTGTATGTCATCATCATTAACAGCTGCAGCACCAATAACAACAAGGGTAAGATATATATATATAACAAAAAGGCAACAACAACAACTGTCACTGAGCTCCGCTAAGCTTCACTTTCAACTGTTTCTAAAATTGGGAGAACCAAAAAAAAAGCATAAATAAATAAATAAACAAGAACAACAAGCAATAACTGAAAAGAGAACAAAAATTAACAAACACTCAGCACAGAACATTCCTATCATCTGTTGTTGTTGTTGTTGTTGTTGGTTTTGTGACCAGAATTAATGCCTTGCGATAGCAAATTTAATTTATTACGATAATTTTTCATTTTTGTCAACGACAACAACAGCAACAACAACAACAACAACAACAGCAGCAGCAGCAGCCGCCGCGTTCGTTGCTGAAATTTGAGCGCTGGCCAAGTTCGAGGACGCAGCTGGCAGCAGAGGCGACTGAAATTGACACTGAGACAGAGACCCAGTCACTGTGCCTGTGTTTTTGTGTGTGTTTTTAAAGACGGGCGCGATAAGCGCGACTAATAATGGCTAATAAGCCATTAAAAAGGCATAAATTGTTTTGTTAGCCCATCTCTTAATAAATTCCACATAAAATTGGCCCGCGTTGGCCTCAGTTTGCCACTTGCTGCACTGCATCCATCTCAGCCGGGTGTAATGTGTGCTGTCCTATGTGCCTTGTCTGTGTGTGTGTGTGCGTGTGTGTGTGGGGCGACTGGCAACTACTTCCACTGCGACATTGTCGCCGGGGCATTTCCCTTAATTTATGTTAATGGACGCTGCGCTACAAATTGCAATGCCCTTTTGTGTCTGCTGGCGACTTTTGATACCCTGCATAAATGCATAAAATTAAAGGGTGTCTTAGCTAGTGTTGAGCAGATCACAATCAAGCATGTGTTGGATTAAAATTATGTTCAAAATAAAGTCAGGGCGGAGTGTAAGCCTGTGATGCAGGTCTTCCAGAGTGAAACATAAACGAGTTTATCTAATAACACTTTGTCGGCTTGCGAAGGGATATAATGATTGCTTATAATAATCTAGTTCAACCTCTGCAAACGAATGCCAATAGTTAAGCTGCACAGCTGATCCGTAAGGATTAGGCACTTACTGGGCATATTCATAGTTGGGATTATTTACTTCTACATATATATTGTTCTTTCTGGTTTCTTGCATATCACTGTGAGTTGATTTTTAATAAATTTTCATTTTCGCTTGGTGTGCAGCGCTAGTTGTTGTAACTGTGGTTGTTGGCTTTGTTGTTGTTATAGCTGTTGTTGTTGTTGCTGCTGCTGCTGCTGCTGCATCTGTTGTCCAATGGGATGCGTTGAGGTCTTCGGCATTTTGTCGGCGTTTTTGTCTTTGTTCTGCAGTTGGCTGCTGTTGCTTTTTGTGTTTAATCGATTGTTCATTGTTTTGTTGATGGCTCGCAGTAGTTGTTGCATTTGTTGTTGTTGTCGCTGCTCCTGCTCTTGTTGTTGTTATTGCTGTTCGTTGGGGGCTTAATGTGGCAGCGGCATTTATTATTTCGACATTCTTAACGAACTTCGAATTTATGAGTTAATACAATGCAAAAAGAATACAGAAATACTCACGCACTCAATACGAATACTCGATTACTTGATTACAAATACAAAGATACACAATATATATGCATATATATATATATATATATACGACCGTGTGTTGGGGGCGCACTCAATTTGTTTAACCAATCGACTGATCCTTGTCCATAAGCCTGTTAACTGCTAAAATTTTGTTTCATAAATTACTCACTTAATTGCCCATTTGCACTTAATTTTTTAACATCAGAAGGCAGTTGCATCGCAGTCTTTCGTTAATTAAGCTGCCAATCTTGCGATGCGCATACGCAGCGTGGGCTCAACTTCAGATGGCAGTCGGACGGAGACGGCGACGGCGACGGCGACGGCGACTGAGACTGGTCGGTATGAGTTGTGCCCGCTTGACGTCTTCAGTTTTGTGTATACAATTTGCTGTCACAGAGCTCAACCTCGGGCTGACCTTGTCCAGGGGCAATCGATTGGCGGAAGTTGTGCAAATTAACAGCTAATCAAAGTACTAAATGCAATAATGTACAGCAAATGGAAATCTATTAAGACTATATGTATGTATATTGTGGCTATCTATAGACTACTTGAACATGCAAGTCTTACTAAAATTCTTAGTTAAGTTAATTATTAAACATATATATTCACTGCATGAATAATCTTCTGTCCATCAACGTGTGATCATAATCAAATCCGCTTTAAGATATCCAAGGGAAGACAATTTCAGATATTAATAACAAAAGACTTAAAACACAAACTTAAAGGAGAATGGGTATATGGTAGGTCTCTTGTTAGCTGTCATACAAAAAAATATAAAATCAAATGCTGAGAAGAGAATGTGGCTACTGGGAAAAGCATAAAATAAAAATTTACTTAAGGTTTTTGTGTATATATTCTATTTCTATTTTAATATGTTATATTTTTAATATGTTCTTAATAACAACAGCTGCAGCTGCCACTAAAGCGTGCAACTTAGAGGCAAGAACTATGCCAAGAATGCGACACAGCATTTAGTGTTACTTTATTTGAGGGTTCATCCCACATGCAAATAGGCCTGCAATTATATTCAAATTAGCGGTACCTGCCCACCCAATTGCCATGGCGTGCCACAAAAACCTTGCCCCATTGGACCCAGACCGAAAGCCGGAGCCAGAGCCAGAGTCGAAGCCGGCCAAGCCCAGCCGCAGTTTCAGTTTCAGTTCCAGAGTGCGTTGCAAAGACCTCTTCTGGCGGCTGTGGCAGCATTTCAAAAGCTTCGACTGCCCGCTAATTAGGAAATGATTTACTACGCGGGCATTTGCTTTATGCCACAGCTACACACACACACGCACACGAGCTGAAGGAGTATAAGTGCCAGTAACCACCCAAAAAGTCCGAAAAGGCCAAAACAAACCGCGGGAGACATGTTGGCCACCATGCAAAAAAGGCGGCCAAAAAGGCAACAACAGCAACAAACAACAACCAACAATTTTGTGGCATAAAACATTTTGTTGTTGTTCTGTTTTCATACCCTGGCAAAGGGTATTTCAATTTAGTCAAAAAAATGCCTAAGGGAACTTTCGTAACTGACCAGATTGGGCAACTAAATCATAAAGCTGTCATAGGAAAGTTAGGCGAAAGTTAAGTTCTTCGTTAGAAAAATCAAGAGTTTGTGAAGATATCCTAAACAAACTTGGTATTGAATAGTTGGACTATGCGTCCTGCTTAATGAAAAACATCTTATTAACATATCATACGATAGTCGAGAATTAGTTTTTCCCCACTCTTCTCACGCGTCTGCACGAGCTTTAGCTGTATGCCTACAAGAGTATTTCATTTTCGGTGTGCCGTTCCTTATTGTTTTTTTATTTTAATATAACTTTTTCGTTTTTTTTTTTTTTTTGTGATAACGCAGAAGGCAGCGCATTTAGCTCGGCCACATCATCAGCATCATCGTCGTCATCATGATCGTTGATGGTCATCATTAGCTTGCTGCGTGTGTGGTGTGATCAGTGGCCAGTTGCGAGCTGGCTGCTCCTGCTGCTGTTGCTGCTGCTCCTTGAGCCAGCTCTACTAGCCACACACACACATACACACACATTCAGATGCGGGGAGCGAAGACAAACCGAAAACAAAAACAAGCAAACCGAAAATTATTAATTATAGTCACGAAAGGAAATAAAGATTTCATTTCAACAGAATGCAAAGGCCCGCACAGGCCGACTACAACTACAACAACAACAACAACAGCAACGATTGATGAAGCACTGCAGCATTTCTCACAGTGCAACAGCAGCGGCAGCAGCAGCCGCGGGGCCTAAAAGGATTATAAAAAAGTTGTCGAAACAAGCCATTGGCAAACAGAAACAGAAACACACAACAACAACACACAACATTATTAAGAAATTAAGTAATTTCTTTTTTATTTATGCTCCACGAGTTTTACTTTAGATTATCTCGGCTTGGCATGCCCAAGCCCCAGAGCAGGCCACATAAAAGGTTAGCTCCCTTCGACTGCAGCTGTGACCAGCCCAACGTCCGTCTCTTCCAGCTGCTGCTGCTGCTGATCCTCCTCATCCACCTCGCCAGCTGCACCCCCGCCACGCACACGCTGTATATGTGAAATTTATTAACGATTTTTATATGATTTTTTTGTCTCGTTTTGGCTTGGGTTTTGTTTCGGTTTTTTTTGTTTTTGGTTTTGGTTTTTGATTTTTCTTCAACCACTCGGCATAGTCAAGGTGTGCGCATAGACACTTTGGGTGTTGGCCAGCAGAAAAAAGGCAGCTAACAGCGTTTCGGTTTTATCGTTTTATTTTTTTTTTCGTCTTTTTATTTGTCAGTGTTCATATTTGATGAAATAATTTTGCCAATTGGGTTCCATGAAAGATCTACGCCGCCTAAGTGGAGCTAATTTGTTTGCTGCGAAAATATTTGAGACGCGCTAATAAGCCGCATAAATTTGATGCCGCTCTGTGCGCGTGTGTGTGTGTGTGTGTGTGTGTGTGGGTTCGTTCGTGTGTGGTTGATGGGCTGATTAGCAATTTGTGGTCAGGATTTGGACCACACACACGCATGGTATACGACATGAAGTTGGCATTACGAATCCATTTGCTTAGATGCTGCTGAAAGTTAAATAGCTTTACCCATGTCAAAAGCCAAAATTGAGCTGCAAAACAAAAGATTTAAGACACAAACTTGATGGATAGCTTATGCTAGATTTTGATCAAAGCGTTGCTAAATTTATCATTCGATAAGGCTGTGAATGGTTGCTACGTATGGTATTAAGTGTTCAATTAGAATTAAAGACATATATGACAACGATAAATATTTTCTCTCTGATTAAACCTTATTCAATATAATGCGAGTTTAGTTTTAAAAAAATCAAAATTCAACGAAATATTGAAATTAATTGAAACATTGAAATTAAATATAAAAAAACCTCCAATTCAAAAAAATTAGGAAAATTGTTTATAATCCAAAACATTTTCAGAAATTAAGAACAAATACTTTGTTGAGTGTGGAAAGTGTTTAAAACTCGTACAAAGTTGTAGATTTTTTATACGTAAATATCAATCAAATATTATTAATTAAAATACGTTTACGTTCCAGAGCTTTATCTTTTAAATTTTGAATGTATATTGATTACAATTTGATTCTCCGAAAAAACCCCAAAAAAGTGTACAATTAAAAGCACTTCAAGAAGCGAGCACTTGAGATTGTTGGCTTTAAAAGCGAATTTAAATGAAATTCGCCTCAATATCGATCACTCGATCGACTCTTGAGGGTTGCGTATCACAAACTGCTCCACAACAGCTCCAATGGGAACCGACAGCCATTACAAATCATTAAAAAGCATATGAAGGCTCATTTTGCGTATTTCGTATAACACATTTATGGCCTTTCTGGCTGTCATGAGGCTAAGAAACAGACATTTTTATTTGTTATTTGTTCTGCAGGCAATGCCCAATGAAAGCTAAGCACAATTCCTCCAGTCACCAGCCACCAGCTCCCCTCCCTCCTCACTCATTTATGATGATGAATGATCATTATATGAACTGCCCGCTGTGCTGGGCTGTGTGCGATCGCTTCATCTTCATCTGCTTGGCTCATCCTGTAAACGGCTGCCTCTGTGTTGGCTTTTCCAATTTGTATTTAGCCACAAAACTAACAACTGACAACTGTGATCTGTGATCTCAGATCTGAGATCTGCGATCGCCACACGCTTCGCTACTTTTTGGCACGCCGCGGCGCAAATGTCAAAAAGCTGACAACGTCGCACCATGAATAGCTCACATTGTTACTTGTGAGCTGCACAGCAGAAATCAAAGAGGCACAAATCTTGAGATTATACAAAACAAGTAAAGAAACTGTCTAAAGGCCAACGCAGCCAATATACACTAGCTGAGACATTGAACTACTTTATTATTTTAGTGTACATTAGTTCGTACTCTGTACTCAGCATTAAATTCGGCGCTTTGTTTGGCAAATTATGAGAATTTAACACCTCATAAAATGAACTAAATTTAAGGTTTAATTTTTTGCATATATATATATATATATATATATATATATTAATTGACTAATTTATAAATTTTGTATGCATAGCATAACAATTACGATACAAACATATTTAAATTAATTTATTTATTAATTTTATTAACATGAAAATGAAGATAGAATTTAGCCCGCTTTTTGCTTATGAAAATATTTAAGGCGTGCAATATTCTCAGCACAGCGGGCCGTCTTAAGTTAAAAATTGATTTTGAGTTATATAACAAATAAACTCTTCGAAAATCGAACCGTGAACCAAAATAAAGATTGAAAATGTTAAATAATCATCTAAATTCCTTGCATTACCCCACTGTCATTGAATCATATATTTAGCTAGCCAATATTAACTTGTCCTACATTTTGAAATATGCTAACAAATACGTCTTGAATAAGACAGACGTCAAGCTAACTGTCATTCTTAATTATTATTAAATCCAATCTCAGGCAATAGAGTTTTTTTTTGCTTACTTGCCCAGTTATCTATAATAGCCAAAG